CTCTCCCCGCCATGCAATGAAGCAGTCAAACCACGTCGCACTTGCGCCACGGCCTTGCGAGGGCTGCATGCGACAGCGCTCAAGATGCACACTGCACTTGCCAAGACACATAAAGCCAACGATGCGTTGATTGCCAGGCATTGGCCCGCAACGCTTGAGCCAAAAGCGCGGTAAAGGATGGTAAAGGCAACTGCTCAAGCCGCTTTAAGCTGCAGAGACGGTGCCCTGAGCTCGCGGACTCCGAGTAGCGTTCACGCAGAGTCCTCAGATACATCTCGGCTTCTCTAGAAGGGTTTACACTAACCGAAACCACCAAATGAGACACATATTTTGCTTCTATACCTTTTTCAGTTGAATTAAAGTGGTTCCACACCCTGCCACATGTTCCCGAAAATTCCAAGAGTGTTTGGTGGACACCAGCTGTAGGGCTTACGCGTGCAAAAAGCAATGCGCCCATTGTGAAAAATATGTCGTACGGGTCATGGCCATGGCTCCGCAAGAGCTACGGGTCTGTGACCGTCCCTACCCGAGAACCTGGATCCTCAATCAACAACATCCTCAAAATGCAATAAATGGAAATTAGGATTTTGTTCCCAAATTTTTATGAGCGATTTCCAATTCTCAAGGGTTGAGCCGTTTGACCATGGCAATGCCATGGCAACGCCCGAGTTTGTGCCCGGCGGCTCCAAATTCTCGAAGGTAGTGGCAATGACGCGGCCCACGTGGCCCAAGGCCTTTCCTCACTGATGCCAAAGCAACCAAAAGTGGGGCGTCCTGGGTCTCATGAAACGATTCCATGAGGTTATAACCATGGTAATGGTACGCCGGATAACATGGACAAGCTTGAGCAGGCCCAGCAGGTATGCAAGCAAATGGGCAACTCTTAGATTCGTCCGGAATATGATCTCTGAACTCCTAGTGCGATAACCGGCACTTGATCTCTGTGACAACCTGCAGCCAATGCCAGGCAGCCTGAGGCCTTCTAGGGGTATGCTCATGGGCCCCTGAAGTGTCACCAGTCAAGCGGCTGTGTCGCGCCAGGTTGAGCGCAAAGGAAAGATTTGCGTCCCCAAATACCACGGCGTCCGTGGTCGGATCGATGATTTCAAGGCCTAAGCCAGTCACAATATCCTGGTAAGGGCTCTGCCAACATTTAAAACAATCACAACGGATATCCGCGCTTTGCTTTTGAGAGGTCCGGCTTTAGCTTGAAGACTTTGAAGACTTGAAGAGTGTGAAGAACCATGTTGTTTGAAGAGCTTCCGCGGGCATTCTCTGAGCTCACTGCGGTAATAGCGGCCAATGGCCTCTCAAGTGAGTGAGCGACACCGAATCAAAGCAATAGCAAGGGACCCCAAGGGAACACAACTTGCAAGGCGCGCATACCCTCAGTCTACCTGCCCCTCTGGAAATGGAGGGTCTTCCAGTCCGCGCTGCTTGCCAACTGCTTTTTCGGCCTTGGAAAAGGCAAACCTGAAAACGATGAAGGGAATTAGCATTGGCAGAAGTCTTGGCAACAGCTGTTGAAAAATCAACTTGTGTCTGGTGGTCTTTGCAATTTTGGGGTTTGGGGCAGGAAAACAGTCATCTTTCATCAGGGGGAGTCCGGCAGGTGCCAGAAATGGATTGAGTTGCTTTGTGGCAAACCTTGGGGGGCGCTTTCATGCAAAGGTATGCTGAATAAGCCGTCAACATTTTTCTCTAGGGCATCAAGATCAACAATCTAAACCCTGAAGCAAGAAGGCGTAACATGTTCGAACACAATACACAACGAATTGTTGTGTGGCTCGCCACATCTACACACAGAATGTAGAAATTTGAGTTTGGCACGAGGGTCAATAACGGTCAGCGGTCAAATGTGCGTCTCTCGCCGTCTTTCTGTACCGGAGGGGGGGTGCCGCCTTTTTGTATTTTGCGCGTGCCTTGGAGCCCGAGGGGAAGGAGGGCGCGGCGCCCTCAGCGAGGCCCTTGAGCGGCTCTTTGGGCTTGGCCTCCTCCATGATCTCCTCGAGCCTCACTCGAAGCCCGGTTGGGACGATAATTTCTGGGTGGCCATGTTGGGATCCTCGGGAAAGCCGAATTCGCTTCAGGAGCCGAGTTCGGCGCCGGACGTGGCTCTCAGGCCGCGGCGGCCGGGTGCCGTCATAGTGCCTCATGACGTAGCGCACGTCCTGGACATCGGCGAGTTGCACATAACGGCTCGAATTGGATTGAATTGGATCAAACAAGCAAGGGATCCCGCCGCACTCGGATTTCGCAGCAAACGAGGCAAAATGGAAGGATCCAAATGATTGAAGCTCCGTATGCGGGCCATGAAAATGCTTTGAACTCAAGAAAGCTCCACGAGCGATGGTTCCCAGGTTTCGACGTGAATGAAGATTTACATCCTTGTGGCAAAGCAGTCGAAGCCGCACTTCTTGCCTCGCACGATGGGTCAAGCATATCATGAGTCAGTGCGTTCATGTTTGCCAAAAGGACAACTTTTTAGCGGGGTAAATCGCATCCGAAAGCAAATCTGTAAAAGTCTAAGCCTATGGCTGGGAGAATCCAAATTTCAGATTATTTCGAGCCAGGAAGCGTCCCGTCCAAGTTCCAATGTGCGCGAAAGGCTTGGATAGCATCTACCGCCGAGCCGCCTGAGCTCGAATCGTACCAGGTGCTGCAAAAACAGCACGCAAACCATGCCACCAAGCGTCTGGGGCCCAGCATTTCTCGCATCTGCCAGGTATGAATCAATGGTGGCAAGATGACACCAGCTGCACACCCCAAAGGCCCACCGCTCGGGCCTGCGCAATGTGGACAGCTGAGAGCTCCTCAGCAAATGGCCAGTTAGACCGGCGCAGGAGGGTGTGCTTGCCATAAGGCGGAGTCATTATTTTTCTGGGCAACAATTTAACCTGCTCACTTGTTATTGTCCTATTGCCCGCCCTCCCCCCAACAATGCCCCCACAGATTCAGGCTCCTAAGGCCAACAACCGGTCCAGTTTGCAGCCTCGGCTCTGCAGGGCCTCGCCACTCGTTGGTGGTGTCTGGGTAGTACCTGAGCCGTCCGAAAGACCTCCCAAACTTCGGATGTCAAAAGACCTGGGTTGGGTGCCACATGGTGCCACATGTCCAGCTTCCGAAAAATACAAAATACAACTAACTACGCATGTGTTGCTTGTTCCCTGTGCACTCATGCTACATACACTCCAGCTTGAGAAAGCATCACCCCAAGCAGGCTGTTGAGGTAAAAATGGCGTGTTTAGAGTAGGAGTTTAGGGTTGGTTCACGGTGGGTTTCGGGAAAGAGAATTGGCTTGCATTGGGTGCGTTTTCGTTTAGGGTGGGTTTGGGGTAGGCTTGAGTTGGCTCCTGGCGGGTTGTACGTATATGTATATATATATATATGTGCATATATGCATATACATATATATATATATCTCTCTCTCTTATGTGCGGTTGCTCCAAATTCAGAAGAGGAAGTGCAAGCCCTCGCGTTTCGCCTCGCGAAAAAACAGTGCAAATCCAAGCAACTTGACGATGTCGACGTTCCCCACTTTTCGCCTCTTTGACTTATTTGACTTATTTGACTTCCTTCCCTTTTCGGCTTTTTCCCTCCTTCCCTTCTGGCCCCGAGGTGTCGAGCTCCTTGAGCTCGAAAAGGGACAGGCCCTCCAGCACGTGCCGCACCACGGACTCGCCTTGAAGGCCCCACTTGCCTCAGGACACAGGCTGGAAGGGGGGAGGCGAAAAAACCAAGAACAACCCGGGGCCATGCAAATTGGCAGAGCGACCATGTGACCAACTGCATTTGCACAAAAAATGCAAGCAAGCCGAGCTTCGAAGGATGCGGTCGATTCTGGCAGACTGCAGGGCACGGCAAGATGGCTGGCAATACGAAGTTGCACATCTACAGTGCAGCTACAGCGAGGCTCCAAATGCCAATGCCCACATAGGAGTAACCCCAGAAAGGAAATCCAAGCCAAACTGTGGCTCTGCGAATTGGATTTCAATCGTGCGCCTCCTCCTGACCAGCACGAGGCTGCTCAAAGCGTGGTCGCTTCACTCCCTCCCGATGGTTGGTTATGGCAGCCTGGCCGGAGCAGCGCTGAGGCAAATCAAAGTCAAAGCAATCAGCAAGTTCAACTGGACAAGAGGGTATGAGACTGGCAGTGTTGACCAGCATGCCGGCATTTGGACCATGCAAAAAGCATATCCAGCCTGTTCTCTGCAAGGTACACTTCTGCAAATTGCCATAGAACTAAAGGACGCCTTAGACCGAAACGTTGTTTTTTTTAGCGACACCCTCAAAATTACCTTCTATTAGCGGGAGCCAGCCGTCCAGAGCGGAATGCTTGGAGAACCACTTCAAGGCCATCCAATGGCATCTCCCACTCTCGCTCAATGGCATAGCCCGCTTCGCCCCGTGAGTTTCAGGGCCAATCGCCTTGAGGTCCTCGCTGAGCAACCGCTTCAGCCGAAACGACGCCTCCACTGCTCCCTGCGCTCATTGCGTTCGACTTGTGGGAAATCGGCCCCAAGTGCTTGAACCTTGTCAATGTGGTTCTGAAATGGTTGAACTGTTCAATCTGGACATTTGCCCTGCCAAAAAAAATAAGTATGCAAAAGGTTTGTCAGTGTTTGCCAGGGGAACGTGGATGGGCCCCCAGACGAAACATGGATTGGAACGGAGATGCCCATTCGAAGTGAGGCTCCTCTTTTGAGATTACATCCGTCCCACGTCCGCAGGCAGCTGCGGAATACCCACTTGTTTAAGGATGTTGAAGGGCTTGATGCCCACCCCCAACTCACAAACGAGACATTTGCCATGGCACACCAGGTGTTCTTTTTTTGCGTACATCTGCGCTAATCGAAGTGGGTATTTGGAGAGGGTCCTCTTGTCAATTTCCCTTGGGCATTGCTGGGCACAACTCAGAGTTCCTGCAAGTGCTCCGCCACATCCTCATCAGTTTCTTTTGGCTCGTCCTCCAGCTCAGGAACAGAATGAGATCTGGAAACCATGGGCCCTGCATCACCCGCAAATGGCTGGGCTTTTGGGTTCAACACATTGCCAGTGCATCGAGCAGAGGTCCTTGGGCTCGTTCACGGCCATTGAGTCCAACACAATAAACTTGCTTTCGCGCTTTGGTCCACTGACTGGGTCATGCTTCGGTCACGCATGCTTGCGTCTGTCTAATCAAGGTTTTGGCGTTGCGCTTTGCTCCCATGTGCTTGAGTCCAAAGGCCTGCCAGGACAAAGCACGTGTCACTCTTCCACTGTGCCGTTTTTTTGAGGGCAATTGATTACCCCGGTTTGGATGGCTTAAAGGGACATATTTTGACATATGCCCGCATCACACGACGCACTCCGCAGCGTTTCCCGCGGGTCGTGTTGTCACCAGCCGCCGCCCGCACCGCCACCGCCACCGAAGCCACCGCCGCCGAAGCCTCCGCTGCTTCCACCTCATTGGTTGAGTAATTGCCTCGTTCTTTCCAAACCCGCTTCTTTGCCTCCATTGTACCCAGCTAAGAGCGGAAAACAGGAAAAGGGGGGGGCAAAAAAAGAAAAGAGTCTCCCAATGACTCCCAATGCAAAGTCCAGCCTGGGCCCACTCCCCCGAGGCTCGTTGATGCGGAGGCCACAGAAGAGAAGTGGCCCGAGACCGAATCGGCGTAGCTGGATGGAACCTGAAACGCTGGATGCAGCCGCGGCTTCAAGCTTCGCTCTGGGCGCGGCACATAGACAAAGTACATGCCATCGTTCTGGTAGTATGTGGGCCCACTCTGGACAAACGTGCTGGGATAGCCTCAAATGAAGGCGAAGGCAGGACTCGGATTCAAATGACTTAAATCCCCACCCGCGGCTGAAAATCATGAAAGGCCCATGTACCCGAGAGAGTGCCGAGGAGCGAGCGCTCAGCCTGGACAAATAGAATCGGAGCCGCCTCCGATAATCCTCGGGCTTCTTACGGTCTTCTGCCGAGAGATGCGCGTCCACGTCGCAGCGGCACAAGGGGCAGCTCCTCAGCGCACTAATATGCACTAATTATCTAACACAAGCAAGATCAAGCAAGCTGAAAGCTGAGGAAAGCTATGGGGTGAGGTTCACATCTTCCAGGGATGCCATGTTGGTGAGCAAAGGGAAGCCAAAAGCAAACCGCCATCCGGAAACCAAAAGGAAGACCAACAGGGAAATCAAAACGCCCAAAGGCTTTCCCATGAGACAAATCCCAATGTTCACAAGTTGCCTAGCGCAGCTGCCAAGCTGCGAATGGGCTTGAAGCCACGGCTTAATGCAGGCTTCGTGAAAGCAGTGCTTGCACTCCAGCTTGTCAATACTTTTGCCGCTCTTGGCATCGTCTTCAAAGTCCCTGCAACAAAAGGCTTCAAATGTGTAAGGGTGTAGTTTGCCTTCTTCTCAGGGATTATCGCTTAAGCAACACTTGATGACAAAGCCGCTTTCTTGACACTACCTATGTGCGGGTCAAACGCGCATACTGCGGCCCGGCGGCTCCAGGCAAATGGGACACATACTTTGGTTGAACTCGTCTCTTTCGAGCTCCTTCTGGACTCGCTGCAAGTCCTCCTCAGCCTGAGCTTTGCTTCGCGACCGCCAACAGGCGGTCACAGCATCGGCCAGCTTCGCAAATGGATAGAGCACAACGGCCAACCTCAGTCGGAGAGCTTGGGCCAAAAATTGGATCCTTTCCGATTCAAAGGTGCCCCCTGAGTGACAAAAAGGGGCCACGTACCGGTCTAAGCCTAGAGGCAGCGTGGCTAGGACGAGCATGAAGAAAGCAATGAACTGAGGCAAATGGCAGCAAAAGACAAGCGCCAGGATAGACCAAGCAAAGTACTCGCCAATGGAGTGGTGCACCTAACTGCACAAAGCGAGAGGCGAGCCTGCGAGTCACAATCAAAAGCAACGATCTCATGGCACAAAGCAAATGGCACCGCAAACAATGGAACCTCCGCAGGCAAGTGCTTGGGAGCCCCGGAAAAAATGAACACCCGTTGTTTAACCAATCCCCTTGTGGTTCCCCTTTAAGGGGGGCTAGGGTCTGGTTGTCCCAGCTGATCCCGCCCAATCCAGTTGTCTGGACCCCCAAACGTTGCGCCCACAAGCATGGACGAAAAGCGCGTTGGAAAAACGGAAAAGCGGAAACACGGAACACCCGCTGCGCCGTTTTGAAAGGCAAGCGGCAGGGATCGTGTGGCCCTGCAAGGCGAGGGAGATCTCGGTGACACCCTCCATGATGGCGCCGCCAGTCTGACCAAAAAGAGCTGAGCCCCATCCGAAGGGCCCCCGAGAATGGTGTCCTTTTCCTTTGGAACCACCCCAAGGAAGGTGCCCTCAGCAAAATACGCTCGACGGGGGGAAACATGCATGCTTCCCCTTGTGCCAAAGCTTTGAAAGCTGCGCCAACATGGGGGGTATGTCCCCCCGTTCCATTCATTTCTTCGGGGGACAGGCATGAGAGCTGACTCATGCGGCATAGCCTTTCCACTCTTCAGCATGGGCCGCATGTTGCTGAGGATTACATCCGCCATCCCATCTGTCAGCACTTCCCTGGTGCGCTTGGCAGTTTTCAGGTAGAACATGCGATCGTTGATGCTCAAGAATAGCATCACACCTAAGCTCGAATAAAGGCGGGCAACAAATACATTAAATGGCTATGAATTCCAAATGGGAACTGATATATATATATATATAAATAAATATAAATCCCCATGTTACACACCAAAGTGCTCGCCACAATGACTTTGCATGGGCATGTGTCAATGTTGGCTTCCCTTCAAACCCAAGGTGGCCGCACGTAACATGTTGGTCGCTCGCCAAGCTGCCATTGTCGCAGCCGCTGTTGCCCAGCCCCCAGGCATCCCCGACTTTGTGAGCAAAGGCTTCGCCAGTGCGCTCCTTCATCGGACGCTTGCGGCATGGCTAAATGCGTGATTGCATGGAACATGGGGGTTGCTCCCAGGGGGAACTTTGTCCTGTTGTCGAACACATCCCTAGGGGGGTGGTGGGTGATGACCTTCTCCACCGACCAAGTGTTCTGTCGTGTCCTTGTCCCACCACCCGAGCCACTCGGAAGATGCTACGCTCTCTACCTGGGGTGCGCGCCAGTGCCATCAACCTATACGCGCGCTCGCTCAAGTGTCGGATTTGCAGCACAGGCGCGACCAGAACAGCTGCTTGGTATGAGCGGTTGCCTAAGGTCGCAAGACCGAGTCCCAAAGCTCAAGGCCCACTGCTGCCCTGCCACTAGCATGGGGAACCGACCAAATGGCCCCTTCCGTGATCTTCCAGCAAACCCCCTCCCCACTCCATGTCCCCACCCACGGGGAGGGAGAAGTCTACCAAATGCCTTGGTCAACCTGTTGTGGGTCGTTGCCTCGGGCCGCCTGAACCCTGGCGATGTCTGTGTACCTTTTATCAGGGGGTAATAGACATCCCGAAGTTGATGTCTAACATTGCGAACGGGGGTCTTTTGACCATGGCACATGCGCCTTCTGCTTTCGGGAGCCGGGCTGCCGTCGGGGCAAGCCACGCGCGTCTGCTGACTGATGTTGACCAGCGCCTCTTGGGCGTGTTTTTTGGGGAGTTGAACCCCTTTCTTGGAAACGTCGTTGTTTCCCCCATTTGAACACATGGCTTCTAGCAGTTACACTTGTGACTCGGCTCCTTGGGTTTGTCTCTAAGTGGGGAACCCTCCCCCCCAAAGGGTTCCTTCCCGTTGTTTTTCGCTTTGAACCACCCCACAAAGCGCTCAAACGCGACACACCCACCTCAGATCCGCAGAAAGGCTCTGGGCTGTGCTGAAGTGGAAACTCCCTGAAACAAATGGAGAAGTCAGCCCTGAGACCTCATAGCTCTCAATCTTTTTCAGAGCTGTCCTGCTCAATCCCTTGTCGCTGGTCATTCGTCAGCATGCCGTCTGGGTCACAAATATACCCGGAAGCGTTGAGACCTCGGAGCAATCGGCAGACTTGCTGGACAGTCACAGTCTTCTCCAACATGCGGAAAATATGGCTGGAGCGAGCCAAGTGCTGGGCCACATTGCTCGGGATTCTTCATTGGGTTGGGCACGTCCTCCACCTTCCATTTGGCCCTGACAAGCCAAAAGGACACTTCAAACAGTTCAAGCTGCAAAGCTTCGTTTCGGCCTCGTGCTCGAGGTAGTCTGCGCTGTGTGGTGAATCACAGCCGAGGCGACTGTGAAGCAAAGGAAGGGCCACAGGCCTCACTCGTCGAAAAGCGTGCACCACATATATTTATCCATTTGCCCCACCCAATGATTCCGACACCATGTAAATATATAAGCCAACACACCTACTTGAACAAAAAAAGGCTGAGGGCTTCCGAGTGGCACGCAACAGCCATATGGATCAGTCCGCCTTGACCTCGGAAACTGCCTGAGCGCGAGACCAGCGGCAGCCCAAACAGCCAAACAATCCAGCCAACAGATCGAAATCAACATAATCAGCAACGAACATGAAACCTGACGAGGGAAGGCCCGCTCTAGCGGGGTCCCTGTTGGCGGGGAGGGCAATTCATTCAATCCTCACGTGCTTCCAATCCATGACCGAGCTGCTAAGTTCGGATGGATAGTAGGGAGGCGTGTGGAGACGTGGTTCCCAGGCTCTCACAGAGGGGTGCTGCTGTGCATCGAGCTAGGGGAAGATGAGCCGAAGGCTTGGCTCCGGCCAAGCGAGGCTGGGGCCATCGCGACACGAAGTCCAACATATTTGAATAACCTTTCCCATGTCACAGCCACATCACCCACTGCTTCAAGCACCAGGCCCAAAGCAAAGCGCTTGCCTTTCTTCAACGCCTTGCAAACCTCTGGAAACTTGGGCCGGCCATGTCGCATCAAAACTCGTTTCAAGAGCTCAGTGCCGATTCATTCGGAACTGGCCGGCCCAGGGGCGTCGGATGCCCCAAGCCCTGTGCTACGCGCTGCGCGCTCGCTGCGCCGTGCAGAAGGAGGGTGAGACGGATGGTGAGACAGGCAGGCTGAGAGACCGCTGAACCGCTGCATTGGGGGGGCGGGGCCGTGGGAAATGGTTGCCGCTGCATGGCTCGCATCAGGCAAAGAAGAAATGTGTGTCGCCAGGCGGTGGCAGAAGCCTTCCAACTCGTCTGTGGGACGTGACACTGCCCGTCTTAGACAGGCTTCCAAGTGAAACCTCCAGAGGCACGACACCCTGGTGTGACACAATAAACTCGACGCAGGCTTCAATCGTCCAGCTGGCCTTGGCTACAAGCAGGCAAGCGACAAAATCAAGCCAAACAGTAGAGGCAGCATAGCAAGCATGATGAGCGTGCCTGCCGCTGAGCGGCGCCCAAAACCCATTGACGTGTGCGTTCTACATGTTTTGCTTTATAAAAAAATGATGACAGTACTGACCCAATGAAGCCAGGAAGAACCTGGAACGGCTTGCCAAAGAGGAATCAGCTTTCGAACCAGGTGGCACAAGCAGGCCACGCCGCGCTTGGTCCAGAACTTGGAGCTGTGCTCCGGCGCCTCATGCCAGCGCTGGAGCCCACCCGTGAACTTTCGTTCAAAGGCCCACGTGGCCCGGGATGCAACTCCAACTCCCTCGTCAAGTAGAGGCGCAACCGCGAATTTGAAGAACACGTGTCCTTTACGTCGGCAAGTGAAAGGGGTGATGGAACCCCAATGGGCTGGTGAATTTCAAAGCCATCTTTCGCTAGTTGACCTCTAGGGCCTTAAGGGCTCGGCGATCTCTGCCTCTCGTTAAGGGCCCGGCGATGGGAATCTTGATGGTGGACACAAAGTTCGTAGAGTGCCCCGTGGTAGAGAGGACGCCCTACGACTCGAAGCGATGGATCGGCACCCGGGGGGTCAAGGCCGATGCACGGGCCATGGCCCCCCAGTCGACATCAGTCGACTAAGTATGGGCCCCAGTGAAGAAGGTAGCCATACATACAGGTCATACAGAAGCCAGTGAGGCTTTTCAACAGGCACGTACTCAAAAGCGATGAGGGCCCAAGGGCCCAAGGGGCCATATAATTTTGGTGTCAAGACTGGTGCCTTGCGTTCAGAGGTTTTGTAGATGGGCGACGCGTAGATCTTGGAGAGGTCTGTTGGATCCTTGTCCTTCTCACAAGGCACCCAGTGCATGTGCGGGATCTCCGAGAACAAGACCTGCCGAGAAAACTTGCTGAGTCAGCTCAGTACACGAAAACAAGCAAGTGCCCCTTTCAAAAAGTCCTCTTCCAAAGGGGAAGAAGAAGAAGCTTCCATTACTAGGGAAGGGTGAAAGCTTCTGTCTTTCTCCATTCCGATTTTCTGTCACCGGGCCTCCTTTGGGCCTCGTGGCTTTTGCTGTTCGACCCATTTTCAAGCGTTACCGCCGCCTTCGGAAGGCTGTCTTGGATGACCTGCTTCTCATTGTCCCAGCGCGCACCGTCCATAAACAGGCCATACACAATGCAGCCCTCCTGCACAAAGGAAACAGGTGTTTCCAAAGGAGGCGTACCTGTTGGTGGACAGAATCCCTGTTGCTTGGGTGCAGGGTGTCATCCATCTCAACTGGTGAAGGATGTTTGTCCACAGCATGGGACCTCGGGGAGTTTGCTCTTTTGGAGAACCCAAACTTGAGCTTGTGGACCTCAAGTTCGGCCAACCACTTGACGTCAGGGACCTCATGTTTTCAGGTCTCACCGGACGGCGGCAACTGTGTGTCAACCTGGGCTTGCACCGGCTTGCATTCCTGCATTCCTGCTCGGCAAGTTAAGGCGGGAGATCCCCTCCTCCGGCTTATTGTGGTGCGTGATCTCCTTCTTCAATATGTGGAAGGTCCAGATGAGCGTGTCGATGGGCAACTTCTGCTTTCGAGCCTCGGGTTGCACACGAGCAACGCAAGGTGGTGGGCAAAAGCCTCGCTTGCAAAGTCTCTTGACCCAAACGTGCAGTGGCCATGGCAGGAAAGAATGAGACCTCCTCAAACAGACGACGACCGCTGCAATGGAGTTCTGGATTAATGCGCCAGGGCGGCAAAGTTCTGAAGCTGGCCAGTCAGGAAGGACTGAGTGAAGAAGAATCCGGACAACCAGTAGGTGTCTGGATGTCCATTGTCCATCCTTGAGCACCATACAGCTTGGAGACTTGCATGGATGGTCAGCCCACTTGGGGGGTTGCTTGGGTCGTCGGCTCCCCTTGTCACTGTGACACTGGGTTGAACATTCGCAGCCAAGGCGCCAATTTGTAAAGAAGTTCATTCGCGCAACCAGGTCCGCGACGTAGGATGACATGGGTTTCAGCGACGGATAGGAGTTCTTCTGCCAGAAAGCCGGCCTCAGTGTCGCGAAGGCATGGCGTGCTAGGGGCATCTTCATGTGCCGGTGGAAGCACATCTGAAGCCCCTCCTCAACATACTGCATTCAAACCTTAAACCCGCCAAACAGTCCAAAATGATCTTCCAGCACCCCAGTCAGGTTCCATGTTAGTGGGTGCGAGCGGAACAAACGCAAGCCATCTTCAAAAGGCCAGGCACTGCTTGTTCAGAAGGATCCCGCTGGCGACATCTTCCAAGTCCTTGGGTCACGCTTCACCCTAGCACGCCGACACCGGGTTATGGGATGCAGCAACATGACCACTGTTCAATTGGCTCAACCCCATTTCCCCTGAGGGGGGAGTGGTCTGGGGATGTCCTTTCATAGGGAGGGCACCGGTACATCACTGGAACCAGCCTGAAGCAAGCGCTGTCCATGTTCAAACTGACCAAAAGGGACACCTGTGGAAACGTCGTCCCTGGGAGCCGCACCGGCCCCATGATGACCAGACCCTTCACCGCCTTGCCGATGTCAACCAGGCTGGCGCGGACTCGGATGAGCAGCTTGTTGAAGCGCAGGGCCTCTTGGTTCACCACGGTGTTCCTGAGGCAAGTGGCACGGCGTTCCTTTTCTTCTCAAGTCGACCCTTTCGTGATCAGAACAAAAAGCATTTCTGTCCACTGTGCTCCTCGGGCGCAGCCGCGGAATCGATCAGGGTCTGTTCCCTGGTTGATTGAAGGTCCGAAATGCAACCGACAGGTGGGTATCAATATTACTTGGGAACCCTTTGGTTGTCAATCTTCGAAGATTTCAACGAGCCAAGGGGCATAGACTCGTTGTAGTCCGTGGGGTACGTTGCTGAGAGCCACTCGACGTCGAAGGGCTGCCCTCAGCAACATCGACAAGATGCCCTGATAAGCTCGGGCCGCCTTTCACTAGTCACTAGTGTATTTATTTACGTACATTTTATGTTTGTTTTCTTTGTGTTTTAAAAAACAAATGGGTTCCCGAATCCTCTTCCGTAGGACGCCATTGCAAGGGAAACCACCATCATGGCATAGGGATCTTGCGGATTGAGTTGTTCACAACCCCGCTCTTTCTGGTGTTTTCTCGGGTCCCGGCTTGATTTTGGAGAGCCTATGCTGAGGCCGGGGCGGATCTCCGAGAGGAACTTGGAGGAGAGCTCCGACATGATCTGATCCGGGGTCTTGGCGCCACTGTCTCCGCCCCCGCCCTTCGGCAGCATCGAGTTGGCCGTGGCCAGGATGCCCAGGCCCTCTTTGATGGCGGCGGACAAGTTGGCGTTCGCGTGCAACCCGAAGGCCTGAGACTCTGAGAAGCAGAACCCCCCCCCCGTTTTGGAAGGGAAAACCACCCGAATTCTCTGGGCTCCGTCCTTGCTTTGACGGGTATCTATGTGATGATCGCAGATGCCTGGGCTAAACACCAATTTTGCCCCAGGCTTCAAAGGCGGCAAAAAAAGTCCACACGCCATGGCCCAGCCTCCGGCATTTGGTTGATGGGTAACGCTCGGATGTACTCGAGGTAGCCATTCAAAGGCTGGAACTTCGGAGCGTAGTAGGTGCCAGACCTGTGTCGCAAGCGGGTGGTGGGCTAACCGCCTCTCAGGCGAGTCTGGGCCCGGCACTCCGAGAACTTGTATCCATCCTGGGCGAAGAGATGCGAACAAACCCGCCCGCCCGCCCGCCCGCCCGCCCGCCCGCCCGCCCGCCCACCCACGCACCCAGAGACACACAGACACAAACAAGCAATTCACATGTATACCTAATTATATTATAATACATTTATGAAAACATGTCTATATGCATGTATATGCATCGAGACACTGCACCTTTGTGTATACTTAGATCATAATACATACATACATAGATACATACATACATATGTACACGGTGTACACGTACGAAGACATTCGCAGTACCGGTATCTTCTTAACAAAGCTGAGTGGGATATGTTGCCAGGCGCCTTCAATATGTCCTCGCAGTAGTAATCGGTGATGAGGTTGGTGATGGTGATGCGGTCATGCGCGTCGGTAACACGGCCCCCGTAGTTGGCCTCCGATGCCCTCAGTGAACAAGGACATCGGGCGCGCTACGGAAGAGACGCGCCCAAATGGCCAAGGCGCGTGTAGCGCAGAGCAGCATAGGGGATGCTGGCATTCTCTTCCAGGAACATCCTTGCAGAGCAAATGCTGCCCAACTTCCGACCATTTTCACCCCACTGCCGCAACAAGATAAACCACGACCATCTCTCATAAGGTTTGATAATAACCATCAATTGAACTTGAATATCCCCACTGAGAAAGCTCCTCTCCCAAGCCACCCAAATGCACTTTGTGCTGCCCTGGCGCTTCAGCTGCGACATGCAGATCTGCCGGTCTGGCTCTGAGAACCTAACGCGGGGGGATACCAAACAAATCCCGCTAACACACCCAAAAGAAAGGCTCTGTCAAGAAGAAAAAAATGGGAGAGGCAGGAAAGGTGACCAAAACCATAGCCGAGAAATGCCGAGAAGCTGATATGGGATGTTCCAGCCCAAAGGCCCATAATTGCATCGCTCCTGACGCTCAACACGTGACTGATTTGACCCTTGATCTATGATCTAGGCTTGCACCGTCTGCCAGCGGATGATGGGGCTTTGCACCAAGCACCGCTGGAATGGTCTTGCATTCTGGGGGAGACGGTTGCGGGCTGCGAGGTGTGATCATTTGATCTGATTCGGCTCCTGAATGAGGGCGTGGAAGAAGCAAAGGCCAAAGAGCATCTTGCGGAAGGCTCTTCGGGAAGCATCGGTGTTGCCGGCAGACTCGAACCACTCTTCCTGGTCGAAGGCTTCAGGCATCTTCAGGCACTTGAACGAATATGAGCAGTCTACACGATATGTCCGGTTGGCTGAATTGACATGGGAAAGTAAGTGAGTCTTCCTGGCGTTGAAGGGGGATTTTGTTTTGCTGCGACCTTAGAACATCTTAAAGCACAACATAATAACGCGCTATCAAGAAATGTCCTGCCGCTAGGCAGTATACCAAGCCCGCTGGCAGGGTTGGGTCTAAGCCCCGGGTAAAGCATGCTGGAACACCTGCTGTCGTGTTAGTCGTGCTAGTTCCCGTTTAAAGGCGGCCAGGGTCCACCTCTGGAAATGGCCCGAGCCCCAATCCTCGAAGGACAGGTAGGCTCGGAGCAGGTTGGACTTCAGCCCCTTGGGCGGCTCCACAGTCATCTTCATGCCGTTCTGCAGCACGCTCACCGGGAAATGCGGCGAGGGCCTCAGGCCGTACCCCTGGAAGGCCGCTCACATGGGCAAATTCGGCTTTCAGGCTTGTTCGTTGGAAACCATCGGGGAATCCGGCTACCTTTGGACCGCGCCATGGTTGGAGTCATCTGAGCTCCGTGCATGGCACTGAGCCAGAGCCTGAAGGTGTCTGCCACCGCATCGGGGTCCAACTCTTCCACCAGCTTCTCCAGAACGGGCATCCAAGACACCGCCAAGTGGCAGTTCTGAAGGATGACCCAGTTGCCTGCAGCGGTTCTTGCGTTGTACACATGAACATCGCCCCCAATTTGGTGGGTGCAGGCAATGGAACCCAACCCTCAGATTTTGAGGGAGGATAACAGGCCATGCTCTACGGACAAAGATCATTCGCGCACCCCACCTGAAACCTGAATGCTGCTGTTTGGGCGGGGCGCGGCATAGCCAACAGTGCCAAACCTATGCATAGACAGCCTTGCGCACTGGCAATGGCTTTGCATAGCTTTGCATGCTCCGCCACTCTAAGAGGGCCAAGCCACTCCCAGGGATGCAATGGGGATACATCCAGCCACCATACATACATCGCCATACAGCAACATGTTTCCCTGACAAAACCGCGCCTTGCTGCTTGCCCTCGCTGATGGCAAACTCGGCCTTTGGGCCCTGGCCCTGCCCCAGAGACACGGCAGCCTTTGTCTCGAACCTGAGATTGCAAGGACTCAAGCGGCCTCATCCTCTGGAAATGAGGCCCCCTGGTTTGGCATGTTCCACCCGCGAAGGCAAACCACCCGTTGGATGTGGGCCTATGCTGTGCACGTTGCTTTCCTCTGAGGGGCATGTTATTCTTCTGGGCCAAGCGGTTCAGCTCTGCCATGGGATCTGCGCCGGAGGATAGCACGAAGATCAGCGGGGTGACGTTGTTGCTGTCAGCGTACACCTGGCCGACCAAGAATGGAAACCCAGGATTCATAGATAGGCATCACTTTAGAACCCAATTGGCTAATCAAGGGAAACCCAGTTGATTCATGAAACCTCTGGTCGATTTTGATTGGGGGCTGACTCTTTTTGAGGGGATCCCTCACGTTCTGGAGAACTACACGACCTTCAAGCCTTCCCTGTGAAGGGATCTCTTAAATCTGCGGCCTACCAAGGCAGACCACGGATGGCTCTCTAAGCGCCTTCTCCAAGTTGAACGGTGGTGGCTCCAGGAATTCGGCACCCAACTTTGCGTGGATGATGCTCTGAAGACCTGAGGAACTAAGCCTCTTGCTGAGCCTTGGGCATCCTTCTTCCGCACTCTTTTCCTCTCTCTCTCTCTCTCTCTCTCTCTGTTTCTTCGAGGTTTGTCCTTGCTTGTCGTTTCGTGTGCCCTTTTCCGCTTTTCCTTTTGCCTTCTTCTGGGGAGGCTTCGAAGCGGACTCCGCGCCTGGCACCGTGGCATCCGCGCGCACCGCCAGCAGCACCAGCGCCTGCTGCAGCGGCGTCAGCTGCTCCTGGAGCTTCTCCGGCCACGGAGCCTCACGGTGAGGGCGCGGGTGGCTCGCGGCTCGCGGCTCGGTTTTTTGGGAGGGCAACCTACGGCCAGACGAGTCTTCTAGTTGTCCTTTTTTTTTTTGCGGGGGGGGTGGTTTGAGCAGGCCAAGGGAAACCGAGGAAGCCCCCTTGCGGGGGTTGACTTCGTTGGGCGTCTGTCGTTTGACAGGGGGTTGTTCAGTCTTTTTGGGGGCACTAAAGGGAAACCGAAGCCCAGTTTGGGAGGTCCCACATGCCGAGACAAGAGAAGAGACAATTAAAGACTTTGCTATGACCTTTGCAATGACAGATAAAGATAAAGCTAAAGAGGAGAGAGAGAGAGAGAGAGAGAGAAAGAGAGAAAGAGAGAAAGAGAGAAAGAGAGAAAGAGAGAAAGAGAGAAAGAGAGAAAGAGAGAAAGAGAGAAAGACAGAAAGAGAGAGAAAGAGAGAGAGAAAGAGCGCATGATTTACCCCGCCTTGACAGGATCGTCCGAGTCAAACACCGCCTTCCATTCGGAGAGGTGCTTGGTGAATCTGTCTGTGAGGCCTGAGATGCACGCTGCAAGGTCCAGGGATGCAATGGCTGAGCCTGTTCGCAGGAATGTCACCTGCACCCATAGCATCTAGGACAATGGGCGTGAGTGCCGAAATGGTTCATTCTGTTCCTTCCCTCTGTCCTTGCCCCCATGCACAACAAGGGCTCCTTCGTGTGGGCGGAATCCTTTCCGCTTGCCAAGCTGCCAGGCCAGGGGCCCTTCCCCAGATCCTCCAGCTCCGACAGCCGCGCCCAGCTCACGTCGCTGAGCCACTCCGCAACTGGCCGCGGCCGCACCTCCGCGATGTTTTTGCTTTCTCCCTCCCCGGAAGGAAAAAAAAACAAAAATCGAATGCTCAAAAACAGCCTTAAGGCTGGAAACCGCGGTCTTCCGTGTGGGCACATGTCTACCTCTGGCACTGCAGAGGCCACGCTTTGGAACCTTCAGGGCTGCCTTTTCAACTCCATCGGGGTTTCCTTACTCTTGAAAGAACTGAACGGCCTGCGCGCCAGTGGTGCCACCCACCAGCAGCAAGCTCTTCTCCGCGTGGTCAAGCTCTGAGTCCACCTCCAAATGGGACGGGGTCCGGGGCTCTTGGCTTTGAAGGGATCTCCCAAATCGGTGTTTTCCGCCAAAGGGCACGGGAAAATCTGGGTTCAAACCGGGATGCTTTCAAAACAAAGGCCCCCCCCCTGGGCTCGCTGTTGCACCACCTCGTGGGTTCACCTTTGGACTGGCTTTGGGTCCGATGCGAAACTGTGTCGCCTCCATGGACTTGAAACTCAGCAGAAGGGACAGCATCAGCTTGTCTTTGGCGAAGAGGGAGTCGCACACCTGCGCTGCGCTTGCAAGCAGCCCGGCCCCAACCCCTGTGACCTTTGGGACCTATTTAATGTGGTTGCAGAGCTTTACATAGATCTGACTTTAAAACAAAAACTGCCACCAAGTACTAGGACCACCTGCTGAGCTCGGCACCTTCTCGTAGAGAAGCTTGATGAACTGGTTCTGCAACGCCTGGTGGGACTGGGAATGAGATGAATGAGGTGTTTTCTTGCATTCCCCCTTTGTGCGATGCATGTACCAAAGTGCTTTGTTGCAATACCAGGGTACCTCTCCCATTCAAGTGAAGGATGTGAAGACGTATTCTGTGAAGCCGAGGGCGCAGTGAGTCGACGCTGTAGGTTGCGCTCAGGCTTCTCGGCGGTCTTGATGGCAAGCAGGAAGATGTCGACGAACCACTCCAAGCTGTACTGGTACATGGGCTCCACCTCAACTCACCCTTCCCATGTTTGCCGCGTAAATATCTACATGGAGCTTTGTGCACCCCTCATCCTGTTTGCCCCGATTTGTCGGCCCTGCTTACGGGGTCAGCCGTGCGAATTCGACGCTCACACCGACTCGAAACTCGAGGCTCTCGCCTTGCACAGGTCTGCAACCACGAAGAACATGGCGGAGCTGCGGACGGAGACTGGCACCTCAGGCAACTTACCCAAGAACCGTGTGCTGCATCGGCTCAAGAACCAAGCGAGCCAACCGAAATGGGTCGAATGTGCAAACATCAGAAGCCAAGGTCGCTGCGGCAAATGGGCGTTTTTAGGCTTCCTGTTTAGGGCGTATCAACCCATCTTTAGGACAAGGCGCATAGGTCTCGCGAGTCTCCTGAACCAATGCCTGGGTTTTCTCTTGCTCCTTGACCCTTTCCTCGATTCCTCAGTCCGCACGCAGTTGCTTTTCCCCTGGGCTCCCCCCCGAAAAAAAGAAAAGAAAAAAAGATCAGGTTTTGCAGGGCGTCCACGGCAACCCAGAATGTCAAGCATTCAGCGGCGCGGGAGATGAGTGCAAAGCCTCTCGCTTCTTTAAGGCTGCTTTGCATGAGTCATAGATTGGCCCTTTGCAGGTGGGTTCCCTAAGCGCAACATGGTTGAGCCATGGGCTTTTGGGCGCAGGCGCTAAACCATGCTTCGGCCAAGACGGTTTAAGCCCCACGGGGGTAGGGGAAACCGTCCAAAACCTGAAGCAAGGGGAGAGGAGGGGTCGGAGACAGTTGGTATCCTAGTGCTCCAAAGCTACGCTTCGGTCGAAAAGGACCCCGCTAGTGCGTGGTCACGCTTCCCAAGCCTTAAACGGAACCTTTTATGACATTGGTCTCAGTATGTTTCTATACATTGTGGCCCGTTTCCAGAGTTACGGCTGGACCGAGGGGAAAAAGAGCTTTTTCAGTATGTCCCCCCCCCCCAAAAAAAAAAAACTTGGGGTACCAGGTTCCCGAGTCGATGCATCGAGCCCTTCCCTGAGGCCAACGCGGGTGGAGGTGACCTTGGAGTTGGCCAAGGTGGTGATCAGCTCGTCGTCGTCCAGGATGTTGCCCTTGGAGTTGGAGAGCAGCTCCAGGATCTTGTCCTTCCAACTGAACAGAAATGCGTTGGGAAGTGGACCCGTTGGGCCTTTGAAATCATTGGGGGGTTCTGTCCCGGACTGGAATTCGCAGGCGCAACTGACCATAGTTCAGGTCCAATACCTCTTGAGTGGGGATAAGGGGATTTGCGCGAAGGGCTGGCCGCATGTCCCGGCCTCGATCTCTTTGAGCTGAGCCTTGCTCTGCGCGCTTTCGATGATCAGGTTCTGCCGCTTCTTCTCCACCTCTGGCTCTTCCTGACGTGCGAAAGACCCTCTTCACTGCCAGGTCCTTCCCTCAATTCCCTCGATTCCCTCGATTCCCTGGCTCAACACCCACTTCCCTCAGTTCCCCCACTTCACTTTGTTCCCTCTCCCCGATCCTTGGCCACCAGGATGCCCAACATCTGATCTTGCAAGCCGTCCGGCGTCACCATGAAATTCAGCAACGTGACCTTGCCAGGGCATATCAAATACTATAAAACCACATGCCCCATCCTCGGCCATGGCCTCGCTTAAAATTCAAACCTGCGCGGCGGCTGTCTGATGTCACCGCCTCAAGTGTCCCTGACCATCCTTAGCCCCAAGTTGCAATCATCCTCACCTGAAGTCTTTAAACATTTGAGATCCGGTCTTGCAGCTTGCCCAAAGTTGTGCGCTGCTTGCCCCGCTCCCTCTAGCCCCTGGCCGCTCTATACACGCCTGGTCAGGGGTTCCTCATGTTCCCTTCTGTTGAACCAAGCTGAAGCCAATCCATCTAACTGAACCCAACCAAAACCAACATGACACCTGCCTGCACGCAGATCTCTGGGGCGTAGTGGGGGTTCGGCAGCTTGGTGGTGATGAACAGCCGGAAGTCTTCGTTGTACTCTACGGTGGAGTCCCCCAAGCGGATCCTCGGCGCGAACAGCGCCAGGCGCCGGTCGGGTGGTGCCTTTGGTTGGAAGAACCACCCCCCGTTTGGTCGGGAAGAAAGGGAAGCCGAAAGCACTAAGCAACCGAAGCAACCCACCCATTTTGAGGATCTTCCCCGAGTTGTGAACAAAGCCCACCCAGAACTCGTAAAGTTGTTCGATTCAATTCGGTGCCGAGCGTCATGATCATGTTGCCTGCCTTGAACTTGGCTTTTTGGAGCAGCGGCTCCAGCAAGGGGTCCAGCGTCTCAGAAGCAAGCGGCAGGTAAAGATGGGAAAAGCAAATGCCATGCGCTGCCAACAGTATTACCACCAGAAACCAACAGGGGCGCGCCCAAAGCTCGATGCCCGCTGACCTGCAGAAGGAATAGTTCTCTGTCTTAAAGCCATGGAGGAGAAACAAAAAACAAAACAAAAGCGTACAAAAAACAAGGTGGTGAAGTCCCATAAAATCCACCACCCCCCGCCTCTGGAACGTTCTCGATGAGCACTGGCATGCCTTGAGAGATGCCCACCTCCAACTTCCGAGCGTAATTGTTCCTGAGCCAGGTCTGCGGTCAATTGCTTTGCGGATTATCCTCCACGGTGGGTGTCCTCTTGCCTTCTCTTTAAAAACCAACTCACCCAACACAAGAACATCTGTGATACTTGCTATGCCCTCTATCGACATGTAGCTTCTGTTTCGTGGTAGAGACTTCGATGCACCCGCCAAGTTTGATCCTAAGCTACTGGACAATTTGCCGGTCAAACGGCGGGGCCATTTGACTGTCCCCGTACCTCGCGGCTCTCTCGCCCCCAGGCACCTCTCCCAGGTCTCCTCATTCTTCCTGTTTGGGGGGGGACCTTCCTTTGTTTGGGTCCACGTAAATTCAGGGGAGTGACTTTGTCGCTCTCGTTGGGCGTCTTCGTTCTATCTTCCGCTCTCTCGTAGCTTCAGCCCCGGCTCTGCGAGAGGCGCAGCACCATGAGCTTGTCGCCCTTGGAGTTGCGGATCCACTTGTTCGCCTCAGGCGCAAAGCGGCAGCTTTGGCACAAATCCGGCGGCGCAAAGGTCCCCAGGCAACCACCATCTCCACCTCCCATCGGGAAAAGCATAGGGTTTCCAGCAAAGGGAAAGGTGAAAAGGTATGGGGGAAAACGTTTCTGGGGAAGTGTCCCGTTTTTCAGAGGCGGGGCTTGCCCTTTCAGACATTGCCGTGATCTGCGCCGGGGGGCTTGGATCTGTGGGTCGATCATCAAGGGCCAGCGCCTCGAGTTGGACAGGATCAACGCGTTGTCGATCGACACCTGTCGGAAGTGGGAAGGCCGTGGCACGAGCAGCACGCACCAACTTGCCAACTTGCGAACTGCCTACCCACCGTGGCTTGGTACACAGCCCCTTTGGGAAGACGACTTTCCTTTTGGCATTTAAGGTCCTGTGCACGTTCATGTTGGTGGGAGGGTACGATCTTTCACAGTGCCTGGTCATTGGGCAGCTTGTCGATCACCCATTGCCGGATGGCCTCAGATGCAACTCACTTGCCTGTACATCCCGGCTCTAAACCATTGTGATTGACACACAGAAGTTTGGTCCTATCAACGCCATGAAAAGCCTAGCCCCCAAAACAGCAGGCGCACTTCTTGGCCCGACTGCCCTTCGCTAAACACTTGCCATGCTGCCACGTCCTCGCCAATCACGGAACGGAGCAAGAAGGTGGATGAGGAGGGAACCTTGTTCTCCTGGAGCATAGCCCCTTTACTCAGGCATGTTGATTTGGCGCTGAGTTGAGACATGCAAGGGCCCGGCATTATCGCCACGAACGGGTCGTGGGCGAGCGATTTCCGCCAATGAACGCACGTATCTTTTCCCCGTCTGTTGCTCCTGTGCTTCCCTTGCCATCCCCGAACCCCCGGTCATCGGTCCAGCATCAGCGAAATCCAGGACTCCACGGACTCGTTGCGGTACTTGGCCAGGAAACAGCCCAAATATGCGATGATGCCCGAAGAGATGAGCACATCCCCCGTCAAGTTGTTGTACCTTGCTCGGGTGGGGTGCAAGGCACACGGGATGTGCATATGTTTTTTTCAATCTGGTGAGGTAGGGGGAGGTTGAATTCTATGAATCCTGCATACCTACCCCATTCCACCTATATACTCACACGGATTCTGGATGATTTTGGGCGTCCGTACCTTGGATCAACGGATGTCACACCGCCCGCGGCGTTCTGCCCAGGCGCTGCTCCCCGAGCTTCGCGGAGGAGGCCTGCCAGCGACTCTTCTCGCCGCCCAGGCCGTTGATCAGCTTCTCAGCGGTGACCAAACGCTTGGAGCACACCTGGCGCGAGCGCCGCGAGCGCGAGCGCCGCGGGTGGGAGTCGAGGCCGCGAGTCGCCCGGATGCAACATCGGAAGCCAAACGGAAAACCAAAATTTGGGGGTCCCAAATTTGTCGGGAAGGCCTCGAACTGGTTCTGCAGGTCATCTTTCTTTTGCTTGGCCGTGGCGAACTCTGACAGTAGCTTGGCGACGTTGTCCTGCTCAAATGTGTTGGCGAGGTCTTTTGTGCATTGCGTTTTGTAAGGAAACTTTGGCAACATTCCCCGGTAGGCCCATATTCCGGCCCTGATGGCTCTTGCAAATTAAAAGCATCAGTCGCTCCAATGCGGCGAAAACCCTGGCCCGAGTCCAAACTCGAAGAATCAGCCACACCAAGCAGAGCTCGCACAATCCCTTTCGACGCCCCCGAGTTTGGCCAGTGCCCACCTCACAGGGATTTTGGCAGGGTGTCTTTGAGCAAAATTCCAGGAATAAACAGCCTCCACTTCTTCACCCTTGCCCCCCTTCCAGACTCACTCCGTGTATGTCCTGCACGGCCTGCAGCTCGGCCTTGCACAAAGCCCGGTTTGCAGCGAGAAACCGAAAGGAACTCTTTTGGAAAAAAGCGAGTGGAAACCGCTTGTTCGAGGGGAAGCCACGCCAAGAAGCTCGCCTTGGGGGAACTCATGTTCAATTACAATCCCACAGCTCAACCAGCCTCAGTAAAACCAAACGGAACTCATGACCACAGCTCAACTTGTTGCCCGGGCTCTGCATGCCGAACCGCCTCAATTCTCAGGCCGGAGCTTTTTTGATGGCCAGCGCATCCTCTGCCCCCTTCAGCTTGGCCTCGGCCTCCGCCAAGGCCTCCTTCTTGGGGCCCACCATCTTCGCCACCTTGCAGCCGAGGTCTCGCGGTCTCCCAGTCTCCCCCCTCCCTGCTTGGTTTTGGACCCGGTACAGAAAAATTCTATCCGGGGGGGGGGGTGCCACTTCGGCTGAACTCGACGAATTCCAGTCCAACCCATCTTTCCGGGCTTCCGGTTGACCGGCACGTCCCTGCCTGGTCGTAGACAATCATGGCGCGTACCTCAGGCAGGGGCACAAGACCATTTGCACTCTCAGCACTTCCAGCACTCCCAGCACTCCCAGCACTCCCAGGGCCCATGCCCACTTGCAGATTCCGCAAGCTGCGAGGGAGGCCTCACACCGACAGCTCCGAAGGGAAAAGATCAATGACCTACCTTTGGCAGCCATGGCCTTCTTGATGGCGTCAGGCTCGAACTCTGGATCTGTTTCCAATGGCAACAGCTTGGTCATAACCTTGGGACGCACTCGCCCATCCCTCCCTGCAATTCATTGCATGGGCATAGGCAAGTCTTGCGCACAGAAAGCGCACAAAAAGCCCTCCCCCGACATCTTCAGCTCGCGGACATCTGGCGGGATGTTGTCCTTGTCAAAGTAGAGCAGCCGATCCAACAACTTCGGGTCACCCCATAGCTCCTGACGTTGGGAAGTCGAATTAGAAGCCTTTGGGATGTCCTGCGCGAAATGCTGGTGGACATGTGTTTGCAGCGATTTATGTTCACCAACATTTAGTAAAGGGAGTGACAGGGACATGAGAAGGGATATGCCCTTGATTAGTTGTAAGATACCCCGTCCACCTCATGTCAAAAGGTACGAAATGACAACCGCAAATGTGAAATGGGAGCAGGCGGAATGGTCCTTCTTCGCCGGGTCCCAGTAGTCATCCACCTTGGACCGGCCGTCTGGCGCAGGCACCTGGCTCCAGTGGATCGAAACGGGCAACGACTGACAAGTGACGGGGGGCTGAGAACTTAGAAAACACCGACCATACATGACCAGAACTGATAGGCGAAGTGGACTCCAGGACATAGCGCTGCAACGGCTGGGTGTTAAGAGAAGTTGAGAAGTTGCGCCCCCAAAAGCTGTTGGCTGGAGCTATACAACGACAAGTAAAGCGGCACAGAGGCACCACATCACCACGAAGGTGAACACGCGGACAGAGAGAAGCATTAGGCTGAACAATGAGCAACATGAGGCCGCTGAATTTGATGATCCCCGATCCCCGGCCCCCATGAGCTGACCGCGTGCCTTCTTGGGCTTGACCCCGAAGCACCAGCACAGCGCTTTGGAAACGAGCACCACGCCTCGGAGAAGGCCAGGAGCCGTTTGGAACAAAAACACTTGGCAACACATAACTACATGTAAGGGCTGTAAACTACGTAAACCCAAATGGTCCTTTCAAACTGACCAAAGGGTCCTTTCAAACTCCATCCCCCGATGGTCCCGATCTCTTAGCCCAGCACCGCCCGGAGGCTTTCCCATGGCCTTCACCTCGACAATGTCGCCTTTGGAGAGCTGATTCAACGCCTGGCCGCCATTTCGGTTGCGCTCCGTCTCAACCCCTCACTCTCATCACTCTCTTGGTCAGCGTGTCCAAGCCTCGAGGGCGGAATTCAAAGCAGGCATCGCCTTGTCTAGGTCGCGCCTCGCAAAGCGCACCGGAGCGTCTCTTGTGGCACACGACTGGAGTACGTGACCCAAGGCTTTAAAAGGAGAAAATGGCAGGGTATGAACAAGGGACGCGTTGTAACACTCTCTGGAGAGCTATGCAGCTGCGTCCTTTGAGCTCCCCTTGAGCTCAAAGGGGCGAGCCAAATTCAAGAAACTGGAGTGGTTGAATGATGTTGAATGACCTAACCCTAAGGCTCCAGCTGGCAGTCCGTCTTCATCGCAGTGGCGCTCTCGGCCACCTTCGCCGTCTCCGCTGCATCCTGCGTGAGACGCTCCCGAGCGCCGTGCCTCTTTTCAAGTGGTCATAGTTATGTTGTCAGAAGTGCCTCCGATTCGTTGCTTGGATTGGTTTTGGTGGTTGGGCCCATTTATCGTTCAATCCCCAAGCCCCAATCCAAACCGCCAACTAAGGGACGCCTGAGTTAGTTCCATGCACTGGACCTGGCAAGGTTCTTCAAAAAACGACGTCGGCGGGATGACGCTCTGACGCGCCTTGGAGACCACTTCCTCGGTGGCCGCGGCCTCCTTTTGCTTGCCCTCGATCACCACCATCAGCTGCGCCTCACACGTCCATATCACGTCCATGTCACCTGGTTACCTTTTGAGAGGCTCTTGATTTAGCTTTGAGGAGGTCACTTTGACGGACCCAGGAACGTCTTGGGAGCCTCCGGAAAAACCAAGAGCAAAATGCAAAACAAAAGAGTCAAAGAGCGCGTGAGGCACAAAGGTCATGAGTAATCAGCACCAAGGAGCATACCAGGCACACCCAAAGTTCCAAAGCCAAGCCTGCAACCCCCCGCCCCCCCCCCCCCCGCTCCGTGTCTTCTGCCGTCTTCTTCAGGGTCGGCTTCAGTTCTTCCAGCTCCGCCTGGTGACCCCGGATTAGGATTTCACAGTGGGACACCCCCTGCGCATCGACATTGATCCTGGGTTTCTACTAGCCACCCAACTTCCATCTGCTGGCCTGCATGGTGGTAACCTGCTCCTCTGTGCTCATGATCTTGTCCAAGCCCACGTCATACCTGCCGAAAGCATTCTATGAACTGACCCGTCGGACAGGCAGAAATGATGCCAGATGGCGATGTTTCAATTCCACTCAGTGCTTCAAATGTCTCTCGTGCCTGGCGAAACCCGTGCCGTGTTTTCTATACTGCGTCATGAGAGATCTCCTGCCTGCTACACCAGGGAAATAGCATGGAACCCAAAAATACCCAACACACTACACATATCAAGCCTCGACTTGACCTTGGACACCTCCTCCTGCTTCGATGCCAGCAGTCCTGAAATCCGAGCGGAGTAGCCGAGCCGAGTAGCCGAGCAGCCGAGCGTGCGGATCGCAACGCGCTGTGCTCGCGCCTTTGAAGGCGTTGATGAGCTCCAGGTAGGAGGTGGGCGTAACCTGTGAAGTGAGCCCGGCAAAAAGATCGACGGGTTGCCACACAAAACATGGCAAAACTTCAACAAAGGGGAAATCCAGGGACATCCCAAAGGGCCAAAAGACCGAGCATGTGCGTCGGAAGCTTGAGGCCCGAGCATAGTAGTACCGCTGCACCTCTTTCTGGAAGCGCTCTGCGAGTTCAAACACCTCAGCTACTCCAAGCATTGAAGCCGGAATTGCCAGCCATGTTCAGAAGTAGTCGCGCACCCGTTGCAGGTTTGGCATATGATATGATACATGCTATGCTGATATGCCAACAGCCAGCCGTGGTCAGTATTTTGAATTTAACATGTTCCAGCAACCTGTCTGTCACAACCTCAGGCCCCTTCACTCTTCTGCATGGCCACGCAAATGTTCACCACCCCTGGGCCAGGATTCATGCGGCAGTGAAGCTCGGGCGCTTCGGGCTTTGCGTGCGCTTCCCTGCTGAGCTCTGCGCCGGTCAGCACCTGGTCCGGCATTCCGATCTTCCCCAGGAAATGGTGCGCCACCTCGGCCAGTTCGCCAATCTTGGGCTAGAAATGCCACCCGCAAATGAGCTTGGCACACTCTGAAGAGCAGCCTCTGGCCACTCATGGAACCTCAGGTCGCAAAAGACTTGTTTTGCGAAGCCGCACTGAGTGAGGCCGCCGCCAATCGATCGTGCAGCAGTTCACCAGCGACGGGAACATGCGCACCTCGCCATGAATTCAACTTGCGGCTGAGCCTGCGAGGGCTAAAGTGCGGACTGTCGCGTCTGCTGTCTCTCAGGCTTCGGAGTTCTGAGAGGTTCTGGCACGGCGTCGGAAGTTCTCCCCAATGGGTGAGAAGGCCAAGACCTCACGTCGCCACGCTGCGTTGGCCGTCAGCCCGAATGCCATGTCATACTCGAGGCACGGGCGATGTGCATGTTCTTCATACACTGCTCCACGAAGAAGGCCATCACCTGCATTGGAAGCGCTATAGAAACTGAGCGCCTGAAATGTCTCAACGTGCCAAATCTTACGAAGGGCATCTATTGCTTCCATTTCCTTCCATTTCGTTCCATTTCCTTCCTGCCTCCGCCGGGCCATGCCGACCCTCCTTGGCAGCCACGTTCGTGCAAAGCTCCAGGACTTGCGTCTTGTCCTCAAGCAACTGGCACGCATTTTTTTTTAGCAACCACACAGCCGATTGCGCCCCCTTTAAAGGGAAACCACAAAAGCATTGCTTCTGGTCCATTTGAGTAAAATGGACATGGGCACCTCCACTTTGCAATCGCAAAAACCAACAAACCCTCTAATTAGCGGTACACATGAGTCCATGGTTTTCCTCTTGCCCGGCTGCACGTTGACCCCCCGCGGTCTGAGTTGCTTTTCTCCGCTCAGCAAGTTTCCTCCTTGACCATGTCTAGCACTTCGGCCTCATTGGCTTCGACTTCGCTCTGGGAATTTTCGTGCTCCGGGGCAGCGCCCGGATCCAACTCCAGCAGCGCCCTTGCGGCGAGTCTCTCCAGGAGCTCCGTGCGCGGCAAGGAGGCGTCCAGCGGGATGGGCGTGTGGCTCATGAGCCCACTGTGCACCACCACCCGCATGAACACCGGCATTGCCGCAAAGTGGGTCAACCGCGCAGACGACTTGGCCATAAAGATGGCCGACGAGAAGACCGTGACCACGATGAGCGTAAGCACGCCCACGGTGCCGAGCAACCAAACTCCCCAGTGGGCGCTCTCTGGGATGAGGGCAGCCGCCGAAAAAATCAGCCAGATCAGAAAGCCGAAGAAGTTAACAGCGAAAAGCATTCCCAGCTCGGTTAACAACTGCACGCCCATTGATTCCATGAACAAGTGCAGGTTGGCTCGGCTCACGTCAGAGACCATCACATTCGTGACATGGGACATACCAAAGTGAGCGTAGAGCGTCCCGCTGAAGCACATGCTAAAGACCTCTGGTGCAGATTTGTGCTCTCTTCTTTGTTCTTTCTTTCTGTATATTTGTTTATTTATTTATTTATTTCTTCCTTCCTTCCTTCCTTCCTTCCTTCCTTCCTTCCTTCCTTCCTTCCTTCCTTCCTTCCTTCCGTCCTTCCTTCCTTCCTTCCTTCCTTCTCTGGCGCAACCAGTTTGGGCATGTGTTTTCAGGTTGGAGGGCGCTGGACACTGAGCAGCGCACTAAGTAGGCGAACTGCACGCGGCTGGATGGCCACCCATCATCGTCCCATTTCATGTTGGAGCAAATGCCAGTGGCAGTTGGGATCACGGTGGCCAGGAGCAACAGCGTCAGCAAGTTGTAGGAATCCATCTGCGCCGCCAGCGACTGCTTAATCTCGTCTGGTGATTTGCTGGACCTGCGCGCATCGATCGCGCCAATCAACCACCGTCGCCGCATCCATCGATCCGATCGATCGTGCAATGAGGGGCTCGAATCATGGGCGAAGTCTCGGGTCGGGTGCGACCGATGGCCCGTCCGTCATATGAGCCACCGACAAGAAGCGTGATTCGATTAAAGAGGACGGGAAAATCAGTGAGCCGCCCGGTTCAGGAAACTCAGCGCGCGTTTTGGCCCTCTCCCAACCTCACGAGGTGCTGGAACCAAACTTTCTTGTGGTCCGCCGGGAGGAAGCGATCCACGCGGTTCACCACACGGGTCAACCGGCTCCATGCCTTGGGCGGCGCTGGCTCTGTCGGCTCTCGCGCTGGTGGCGCCGCATCCCGGAGGCTGCCCAAGAGGCCTCAAAGCAGTCAAAGCAGGTGGCGTGAAGGCACAAAAAGCAGGGCAAACAAGCAGCACACAACCAACCACACACACATTGATCAACTTTAGTTGTGTGTTTGCTTCACTGTGTGCATGTGTAGGTTAACAAGTCAAGCTTGTCTGAGGTTATGAACATCTATCTTCTATTCTATATACCTGTGCACATGTGTATCTCTCTCTGCCGTTGCATCCACATGCGTATATACAAATCTAGATCTGCATCGTGTGCGAGCTCGGGATATGGACTGTATTCGCTCCAATTGCCATCGGGCGCCGAGGCTCTCATGACTTTGGCCCGGGCCACGGCGCTCGTGATCCCCAGCTCCGCCCAGCCCTCGTGGCCCAGGAACGGCAAGGCGCGGCTGGTGAGGCCCTGCTTCCTTGGATCGCCAAATATCGCTCGGGGCGCCGTGACGCCCGTGAGTCAGACAACATTACGCCAGCATAACACCCCAGCTAGCGAAACACGCGCCAACGATTGCACGCCAGCACTTGTAGTAGCACGGCCGGAAGAGTACCTCAACAAACACCCCAAGCAGCATCGCCAAAACACACCTGGCCGTCACCAGGCCAGCACCTGCATCAGCCCCGTCAATCTCGCAAAAGCGTGCCCGCACCCGTCACCACCCCCCCAAAAAAACAGAAACTGCTCCAGCACCCCCCAAACTGCATGCCCCCGAGCAACCTGCATCAATCGCACAAGTTCGCCCGCGCCAGCCCCCCGTATAGCACCCCCAAACAGCACTCCCAGAGCACCTGGCCGTCAATCTCGCAAATCACTCTCGCTTCTTCATTAGAAGTTAGAACCCCTATAGCTTTCAGCTATCTGGGGAAAAACAGCTAGAAGCTACGTAACATGAAACATACATAAAGACCCAAGAGTGGTGACACAAATTATCATAAGGCACATTTAATGACAGATACATGTATTTGTTTTTTAAGAAAGATCCCAAATAGCGAAAACCGGCGGATGTTTGCGCCAGCGCCTCTAACAGCACCCCGCCCGAGGAGCCGCCAATCTCGCCAAAATGCGCCTGCACCCCAACCTGCATGCCCTCTGGCACCTGCCGTCCGGCGCCCCAAAACAGCAGCTGCACCAGCAGCCCGAACAGCATGCCCCCTAGCACCCTGCCGTCAATGTCGCAAACATTTGCGCGCACCGTCAACCTCGCAAAAAATTACACCAGCGTAGACCCCAGATAGCACATCACGGCTACGAACCATTATGCAGCATCATAATGGTTTTCGAGGCATCATGATGATGTTGACAGCATCATGATGATGTTGAAAGCACCATGATGATACCACAGCCACTCAGCATGTGCGCTAAATAGACACGAAGACAGCGTCCTAATGAGTTCAGCAGCAAAAATGAAGATATTGACAGCATCATGCTGATGCACCAGCAACGAACGATTCCGCGCCACATATCTAGCAGAAAAATGGCAGAGACGACGTCCTGATGAGTTCGACAGCATCATGATGATGCGGACAGCATGACGATCATACGGACAGCACCACCATGATGCGGACAGCATCATGGTGATGCGAACAGCATCATGGTAATGGTAAAATTGAAAAGGCAGCATCATGATGATACCACAGCCACGAATCTTCTCGCGACAGCGTAGTGAAATTCAGCATCATCCTGATGTTGACAGTAATCATGGCGCCACCACACCCACGAACCATAACGCAGCATCGCAGCATCGCAGTGACAGCAGCATCATGACGCGGGTGACAACATCATGATGACACACCAGCCAGACTACTAGAGCAGCAACAACGTCCGAACCGGTTCAACGGCATCATGAAACAGCACCCGCCCTAGCACCTTGCCGTCCATATGCGCCCACACCGTCACCAACACCTCAAGACAGCAGCCCCAACAGCACCCCAACGCAGCACCCGCACCAGCATGGTCCCCGAGCACCGAGCGCCTTGCCGTCACGTACTGTCACCAGCCCGAACAGCGCCTCAAAACTGTACCTGCGCCAGCGCCCCAAAGTGCATGCCCCCTAGCTCCCAACCGTCGATCTTGCAAAACAATCCCACTTCTTCATTAGAAGTTAGAACCCCGGCAACCCAACACAGCAGTTGCACCACCACCCCAAACTGCGTCAAGCTCGCAAAACAGCACCAGCACCCCGAACTACACTGGCACCCGGCCGTCAATCTCGCAAAACAGCACCTCCACCAACACCCGAAACCGCATGCCCCCTAGCACCCGGCCATCACTCTCGCAAAACAGCACCTCCACCAACACCCCAAACTGAATGCCTTTAGCGCCCGGCCAACTCTCGCAAAACAGCACCTCCACTAACACCCCAAACTGCATGCCCCCTAGCACCCGGCCATCACTCTCGCAAAGCAACACCTCCACCAGCACCCACTGCATGCCCCGTAGCGCGCTCGGCGCAAAGCACACCTGGCGCCCGGCCGTCAATCAGCACCTCCACCATCACTGTCGCAGAACAGCACCTCCACTAGCACCCCAAACTGCATGCCCCCTAGCGCCCGGCCATGCAAAACAGCACCTCCACCAACACCCCAAACTGCCTGCCCCCTAGCACCCGGCCATCACTCTCGCAAAACAGCACCTCCACTAGCAGCATGCCCCCTAGCACCCGGCCATCACTCTCGCAAAACAGCACCTCCACCAACACCCCAAACTGCATGCCCCCTAGCACCCGGCCATCACTCTCGCAAATCAGCACCTCCACCAACATCCAAACTGCGTGCCCCTAGCGCCCGGCCGTCAAGCTCGCAAAACAGCACCTCCACCAGCGCCCCAAACTGCCATCACTCTCGCAAAACAGCACCTCCACCAACACCCCAAACTGCATGCCCCCTAGCACCCGGCCATCACTCTCGCAAAACAGCACCTCCGCCAGCGCCCCAAACTGCATGCCACCCGGCCGTCAATCTCGCAAAACAACACCTCCACCAACACCCCAAATTGCATGCCCCCTAGCACCCGACCATCACTCTCGCAAAACAGCACCTCCACTACCAGCACCCCAAGCTGCCTGCCCCCTGGCACCCGGCCGTCAAGCTCGCAAAGCAGCACCTCCACCAGCGCCCCAAACTGCATGCCCCCTAGCACCCGGCCCTCAATCTCGCAAATCATTTTTCCTTCTTTATTAGAAGTTAGAACCCCTATAGCTTTCAGCTATCTGGGGGAAAAAAAAAAAGCTCCCAACCTCAAAAATACACCAGCATAGACCCCAGATAGCACACCACGGCTACGAGCCATGACGCAGCATTATCACGATGATGTAGACAGCACCATGATGATACCACAGCCACTGAGCATGGTGCGCTAAACAGACGCGCATACAACGTCCTAATGAGCTCAGCAGCATAATGATGATGTTGAAGGCATCATGCTGATAC